GCGTACAATAATCTCCAGTATCCTGATCGTAATGTATTGTCTTTGTTACTTCGCTTGTTCCCGAATGTTTCTGGCTTCAGCGTCAGGTACTTGTTCAGCAATTTATATGTAAATTGTACGAGAATGTAAGTGCTGTTACTACAAGGTGTTCGTTTTATTGCTCGTTTATTAGTGGTTGCGCTGTGTGATTGCGTTATGGTAAACGTTTGGTGTTAAACTGTGAATTAATCTCAGTCATCGTGACCTGCGCGTACAATTTTTAAAGAAATCTACGAAAATTACAAAATACCGTGACATACAGAGCAATTAAAAGCGGCAATTGATAATTACAAAATATTGGACATGTGTTTATGGCGGCGGGCAACCTGAATGGCGTGTGTTGCAATGTGCATACCCTGGGCCCGCCCTGCTGGACCTGTTACGATACGGAAACCGCAGAAGGTTTGTGTATTCCCAATTGGTTTTAAGTTAACACATAACGAACAAAATTACTTCCTTAATTGGAAAAGAGGTAGATATTCAAAAACTGTTTCTATAGAGGATACGAATTTCTTACAATGAACGAGTCTATACCGCTTTGTGTGTACCTGGCCTTCTGGCCTCTACCAGCACGTAGTCACATGCTACTGTTACCGAGCGGGTAAGGTCTTACTCAACACTATGTCGCAGGAATTACAAATTGATATTTCATGGCATTTTATTTCGAAGCGTGCCCATGCCAACCTTACTCGACACACATTTACCATTCATACATTCGGTTGCTTTATCACCTCTAGTTTTGAAATGTTTGATTTTTATGATTCTATCATTAATTTCCTTTATCTGACACGTTATTGCAACGGTGATAATTTATTGGAAAATAAAATTTATGGTTGCAATATCTAATAGTCGGGTGCGTTCCAAGGTCGTTACAGTTTAATGGACCTTTATCAGTAAATCTTAACTATTAATTAAGAAGTAGTAGATGAAGATGAATTCACAGCTGACCGTACAAGGAAATATTAAACCTTTTTAATAAATACTTAATTTTAAATTAACATTAAACAATAAAAATAGTAAAAATATTCAAACAGCACACAGTTAAGACTGAGGCTAGAAGTAATAAATACTAACTGAGAAATTTTCATTCAATGTGAAACCAGTTGATCGTAAAAGAAGGAGTACCTCAGGGCAGATAACACGCGGCTAATATTAAAAGGTGGAAGATGAGATAGCTGAGGCACGCGGCCAGATGGCGTGCCACCGGACAGAGCGTCCGGCCGGACCGTCCCGGACGGCCGGACAGACGGCAGACAGCGGACAGGTGCGGGTGATCAATTAACAAGGATCGATGGCTGAGATTACGCGGAGCGCGTGCGCCGGCCCGGACGGTTTTATAGTCGGTGGCTTCTGTTTCAAGCGGTAGCGATTGTGTGTATGTCTACTAATAAATCTTATAGGGTATTTAATTTGGTATGTACTTTACTTTGGGTTGAGTTTTATTAAATCATACAAAAACAATAGTAAATAACTTCATTGCCTAATATTAACGGATCTTCGTAACCGTTACTTAACTATCGTTTATCAATACACTTTTGGATACAAGATTATTATTCTTATCTAATACAAAGCGTCTTAAAAATGAGAACTTAAATGAATCAAATGAGAAAAATCATAACTCAAAATCACGAGAATTAGAAAACTTGCACCACACGCCGCACGACGCAACAAAATAGGAGCAAGCACATCCAAGTAGTTATTTAATTCCGTACATTCCTAACACTTATCCCACAGTCAGTGTTACAGATATTGGCGGCCATTGCAATCACTCGCCGGCCACAGATGCGAGGTGGCGATAACATGTAAAAACTCCGGCGTTGCCTGTGGGAACTCGATACATCTCGCGGCTGACTATCTCTGGTATTCGGAGAGCGAAATGAAGCCTTAATTAATATGCAGCCGCTTTGCGACCAGAATGTCTCCCTGGTTTAGAAGCTCTCTAATGAATGAAGTAGAACGGGAAAAATATAAAAACTTAGTTAAATGTAAATAAGACAAACGTTAACATATAAAAAAAGAACAAGAAGTACTTCAATGAGTTTAAGGAGACAATGCAAATAAAATTATTAATAAGTTTGCATTTAATATTGTCTTCTGTTGACTTTATTTATCATTGTAAAATATCTATACAGTTCCACATTCCACAATATCGAGTATTATGCCGATCAGAGCCTTCAGAAACGTAAAATATCACCACAATGATATGCAATCTGAAATTCTCTGGGCAAGCGTAATTTAGGAACTATAAATCATTCGTAAAACTGGACTTAAAGACTTGTTCATTGAAATTTTGACTGTTCTCGTATTGTTTGGGTATTATTTGACGTTCAATTGATTCATGTTCTTGTGTGAAATATGTTGGCGTTTGCCATTTGAGTCCAGGTAAAGGTTTTGTTTAATTTGCAACAGCTATATTGTGTTTCACGTCAACCATTAAATTGACTTCTCAAGTCATTATTCTTTTCGAATTTACGACAGCAGTATCATATAAAATTTCTAAATCTGCTTCATTATGATGATCCATTGAGATGAGTATTAACATTATAGGTGAACTGGAGTCCTCATTAAAATTTAAATTCTGTACTTCATTAAGTCAAGAGCTAACTGTTAATTAGTATAATTACGGGTACGTTTTCCAGCAATTAGTGTCTCGATGGTGGCAGCCGGATCTGGCACTAGATAAGCTAAAGAACAAGCTTCAACAATGCAGTTCACATTACGATCAGCGCACACTGGCCGTGATGTGAGCTACTATTGTGTCGCTGTACTTGTAGTACCCACGACCCAACGCCACCCTACTTCTGCTACAACGATTTGATTATCTTCTTGAACTGTATTAGCATTGTCGGCTTCCACTGCGTTTCTGTATTTTTCGACACGTTCTCAGGTATATTTAAAGTTCCAAAATTTTCTTCAATTATTGATACCAAATGGTGAGTCCATTGCTAGAATTTCGAGGATTTCATTATTATATTATTAACAGACACTAAATTACCTTCTGACTACACATTTTTACACCAGAAGTTTATTACAGGATATCCCAAGTTTATACTGTTAACATGTCTAAAAATATGAGGATTTACGAAATCATTTAATTGTTTTCGCTCCTGATTGACTGATGATTGATCAATTACAATATAATTTACGGAAGTTTCAAATAGAGCAATCAATCAATAATTATTTATTGAAATAATTGAAGAATGAAGTTGTTAACACTAGAAAGACGGGAGCAGTCATTTGACCGCGATTTGATTTTAAATGTTGAATGACTTGAAATCTATTTAAGTTTTTAAACTGATGCTTTGTGACTTTTATTTATTTTACTAGTTAAATGCAACTATGTATGAAAATAAATCACAACTCTTTTATTTATTATTCAAAATCTTGATCTACCGACAAAGACGGCGGCAGTCATTTGACTGCTGACAACTAATGAGTGTTTATAAGTGTAATATGAGAGGGTAGAATACAAATTATATACACTAATTCATTGTTTATAGTTTCTTTATCAAATGAGACCGTATCATTTCAAGTGTCTGTGAACTTTTACGAAATTATTGAAAGTAGTTTGTGGTCGCAACGTGTTGGAGTCTTGAAAATGAAAAAATGTTTGTTACTTCCAAATTATTTATGAAGATGAGTCTGATTTTGACTCTAAAAATACAAAACGTGATAGCGACGACGATTATGTGATACTACTTGTCAGTTCGAATTCCTCTACGGACAGAAGTGACCTGAAAGACCAGATACTTCGAGCAAATTTATCAGACGTTGACAGGTCGGGTTCTCGTGGTTGTAATCGTTGCTGTGGTAGTGATAAAGGCTGTGAATGGAGTTTGGAAGATCCTGAGCATCAAGGTATTTCCACAACTATCGACTGTATCTTGTACACACCTCAAATGGCATCTACTTTATGTGGTCAAATGTCAATGAATCCGTTGATACAGATGCGTGTTGTGAAACTTTTTGCAAATACTGGTCAAAATGTTACGAGCATCTCAAAGGTGAAATAGATTTTTTTTTCATATATGAGACCTAGCAAAGATATAACATAATTAGATAATTTTCCTTTTTAGATATAATTCCTTCATTTGGTATAGGAAAATGTAGAATATTACATGAAACAAAGGGTATTTATACTAAGTTCAGGGGGCGAACTTAGAAGCAAAGTATAAATTGAAGAATACTCTCTGAAACTGAATCCTTGCCTGAAAAGTCTAGATCTTTAACTTTTCAATCTTCTGCACAAAATCCAGTAAATTCCAAAATATTATATACACAAATGCAAATACAAAACCCATAAAGAATGCGACAATTGCAAAAAGCCACTTTGCGGCTTTTGTAATGTAAACAAAATGATAAAATTAGAAATTCTATACATATTCCTTAATTTACAGTATGTTATACCATGTTTAATACTATAGGTACCATTTATAGCACTTAAACATAAAAAAATATCAATAAACTTGAAGCAGTCATTTGACCGCTCGCCGTCTTTGTAGGTAGATGATTTTTTCCGTCTTTCTAGTGTTAATCCATTCAAATAACCACCGACAGCTATTAGTGACGTAAAACATCATTATAATTATTTTTGGACCATTAGATGATATGAGAGATGGAAGATAAGATGCGTGACAGGTACTACGTTGCTCTGTTCCTAAAACAGAGCAACGTAGTACCTGTACCTATATACCTATGTACTACGTTCCTCAGTATCTATATCTGTATCTATATACATACTAAGATTTCTGAAGGCTTTAGATTTTAGACATGAGGCTCATTTATTATTAGATTTTTTTATTATAACTGGTGAAAACCAGTTAATACGTTTTGCAAAGTAAGTAGAACTCTGCCGATCCACCAAGAAAAGCTTCCTAGTCTAGCTTCCTCTCTTTCCTAAACCTAGAACAATTCACTTGTGTTACAAAGTAAAGTAGAAGTAAATACTAAACAGCCTTTACCTTTAACGAGTCGTGGTTCGGTCACGTAGTGGAGTGCGAGGTGGCCGTAACCCGATGCTCAGCACCTGTGCAACAAAATATATCGTGTAAGTCACCTTCCAACAAATACCACATTATGCACTGAAATTGTTTAATTTTTTCTGTACCTAGATATTATATTTTTAGATGGCAATGTTTTATGTAGGTACCTATTCCAATCCTTCCAATGCTATAGTTTGCCATTTCAGTGGCCTAAAACCGTTTACAAGATTTGACTTAGATTCAAATCACAATACTATGTAAGTAAAATAACTTACATAGGTAAAGTTTGGTTTTTTTTTAATTGTGTTAATTTATTCGTGTTTTAATACAGGTAATCATGACTGCCTCGTTGACTGAGTGGTCAAGTGGTCGGGCAAGTGGTCTCGGGTTCGATTCCCGGGTCGGGCAAAGTATTACTGGGTTTTTTTAAATTGTCAGTAGTAGCACTGAGTCTGACTCACCTCCTATTAGGTACATGGGACTCATAACATAAATAGTGAAAAGTGGGTGTTACATTGTGCAGTGGCTTTAAATGCCGTGATGTGCACCTCAGTCTACACCTTCGGGTATAAAAAGGCGTGACATTATGTTATGTTAATACAGATATAGGGGTTAGTTGCGTGAATCATAAAAAATAGGGCTTAACGGTATTGGTAAATACACAACTTCTTTAAAAAGGTCAGGTCATCAGAATGCGTTGTCACCGTTAATCGATGTAGGTCATCACGACAGCGCGTTATGGACCGAAATGCACAAAATGCACACGATGCGTAGTGACGTAACAGCACTTGACCCCCGGCTGCGCATGCGCATATTTGCACAACACTTGCTTTCGATGCGCACCGCTTGGTCAATTACGTGTGGTATAAGTAGGTAGGTATATTACGCAGACTGTTATCAATAATTTCATAAGACTATTGTAAATACAAAAATTGAGGTTTAGTTAAAATTAGGTATATTTAAAGCACTATTAAAGGGATTTTATTTCGTGAAATTTAATTAAATGATAATACATATTTGGTATTTCTAGTTTTAATTACCTTCTAGATGTGTTGAATAAAAAAATTTTGAAAAAAATTTATGTAAAGGGTATTTATAATATAGGTACATCTCTGAAAACACGATTTCACGAAACTTAGTCATATTGGCAATACAAAACTCGCACGAGAAAGTGAAAGAAATTTCGCCGAAATAATGAAATTAACGTAAAATGAAATTCAGTCTCTGTAGGTAAACCAACCGGCAAGATTAATCACATATTAATAATTTAATAATTCCTAGTAATTTAAGAATAATAAACTTCAAGATTTAGAAAGTACGGATAGCAAAACATTCAGATATAATTAATTAACAACATTCCTTCGTTGCCGACGGTACTAGGGCTGTCACGCTTTATCTTTGCGTCGATATCTACCTTCCTTAGTACGGGAAAGTTTTGTAGGAAATATTTCTTGATTGATAATATTTATTGAGATAATAGTACACAGTGCACCTGTGCATATCTTATGTGTGTTAATTGAATGTAATTTTATAATACTAAGAAGTACGGAACTAGAATGATATCATACTATTGAACGATCGATATTGGTAGGTACTTACTTACGAATTTTTGAATGTTTTATAGTACTATGGATATGTTTTTATTCAATTATAACTGTAAGTGAAACTAATGATAACTCTTTAAATCACCTTAGATATGGTACATTATTTCCGTATATTGGTTATTGCTTGTTTATCACCCGTAAATTATTTATCAACAAGTCTTAACTAGGAATTAGCGACAAAAAATTAACATATTATACTCAGCCGTCTTTTTAATAGTCGTTAGACATACACAACCACTTTCGTTGTAATATAATTTAGTTGTAATGTAATAATAAAAATAATGAAATTCGCAAAACACCAAGCCGCGGTTCAACCCTATCACCGATGCGACACTGGTCGAGACGAAGCGATTGAAAGTGAAATTTCAGAGCGCAGCACATCGGCCGTTGACCTCGACCACACATAGTATATAATAGTATACATAGTAGCTATATAACATACATAGTATGAAACCTGTTTACTATATTACCGAACCGTTGATTAATATTTTGCTTCAATAGCATTTTCAGTTTATGTAACTGTTTGTCGGCTCGTTTTTGTACAGCCTCCGAGATAAAGTTGATGTTACTTGTTGAAATGTTGCGTAGGTTACTTTTGGTATTGTATAGTTTGTGTTTATTTCATTAAGATGTTGATACTGTCTTAAAATATCTCGGTTTAGTATTATTGGCCTATTTCCACGTCTATTAAGGTAAATGCCTAATTTTTATTTTTAAATCATTAGACACGTATTTTTATTTTCTTACAGAAACAATACTTTCGAAGATATATTGATTTGAAATGTCGTGTGACGTCACTTCTATGTACATTTTATACGTAGAAAAATGATGTTTTAGCCCCCACTCCTCAACTTTAATTCGTTTTATCTAAGTATTGTTTTATTATACGACAAAATAAAAAATACGTGTCTAATATTTTTAATTACCTAACTTACGGACTACTTAGATTTTTAATTTTCATACCCTGTCATCATCCCAATTATGCGCAAAGGCTTTCCTTTGCGCATAATTGGGATGCCAGCTAGGAAAGCCTAAACATTAGTAAGTATATTAATATTTTATAATTTTATTACTTACAAACCTTGTTTATCTAAAGAAAACTAATAAAAACACGAATAATAGCCATTTAACGCTTTCAAATCGACAAAACAAAAGAAAATAAAAAAAATAACAACAAAAATGACATCACAGTGTTACAAGGCTATCAAATTTCAAGATGGCGGCTATAGATTAACAATATTAACATATTTCGAGTTATTAAATCGTGATACAAAAAGGGACGTGGCAATGCAATCGATACCATGGTTACTTGCCAACATTTCTCAATAAAGTAATTTGATATTAAGTACTTGATGAAAAATATGGAGTCCGATTAACCCTAATCAATAAAATAAATATATCTTTCTGTACGTCTGCAAAATCATGCGTAGGTACCTAAAATATACTTAGATTTTATCGACCTCTACTAGACAGGAAAAAAGCTTCCTGAGATACAATTCGATTGGGTTTCTATCTTTTTTAAATATATGCAGAACTAATATTTTGTAGAACAAAACCTTGATAGTCGTCAGAATAAATTAACTATTCAATCTTAGGTAAACAAAAGCGGTAGATATACATATATACCATGACCTGCGTAATATATGAATCGCTTATTTATTATGGAAAAATACTGGTTTTATACTTATGTAGGTATTAGCTTTTTTGTTGTATCTTTATGCAAAATCGTAAACTATAAACAATATCTTCAGAAAATTGGGCACAAAGATCAAAAGAAGAAACTCTCACACACAAATCAATTTATAAATTACGTAACAATATGTGAGAACGATCGATTTCCTAGGTACCACCTGGTGACATTCGTGTGATCGACACCGAACCGAATCGATAATTGTAATCGATAAAAACGCACGATTATTCGCCGCCTGCGCCTACGGAACGAAAGCATCGAGTTTTTTGCGAATGTAATGCTAACGTAATCGAATTACAATCGATTTGCGGTTGTATATTAAATACAGATTAACACGAAGTTTTTTACGTGTAGTTGTTAGTTAATTAATCGTTCTAAACTTCACTTTTCATTTTGTTAGACAAGTTAATGTTTTAGCAATTTATAAAGTTTACTTAGTATACATTTCGTTTATCCATAAATTACTAAAGGTAGGTGAAGTTCCTATTTATGTTTCGTTTTTTATGCAAAAGTGATTGAATAGTACTTAAAATAGACAGACATACTTTGATGACAAAGAAAAATAATTAACAATTAATAAAATAGGGCAAAAAGCTCAATTCATCTTATTAGTCGACCGCAAAAATATACATATAATAAGGTATAATAAATAAATTCTTTTTTTTAAAAAAAAACGTTGCCCCACACTAAGTTTATCTCTTGTGTCGTGGGTGCGTTTACAAACATATAAGTTCACATACACATGACACCCAGACCCGAAACAACAATTTGTGGATCACACAAAGTGTTGTTCCGTGCGGGAATCGAACCCGCGACACGTTTCACGGCAGCCGGTTGCCCAGCCAGCGCAAATATATATTTTCAATTTTTCAGTAACTCTATATGTATAACATGCCAATTTACTAATCTCCTCCTACAAGTATCGCAGCAAAATTAATCTACTACTTACTCAGCACAGCTGATTAGTAAATCAATAGAGTTTATTGATCCAAACGTAAGAACATAACGTGAAGACGTCTGTGTGTCTGTCACGCTCTCTAAACGGGAGTTTGATTATACCAATCGTTCGTATAGCAGATTTTATATATTTTATTTAAGTTTAATGTTGATATAGTGTATTTTGGGTTATAACCTTTATAAGTAGAATTTATTTACATATTTACTCATGAGCTTTTAAGGTTCAATCAAGCAGAAATTGAACCTATAGCACATTCACTAAAAATCGCGGGTTAATCACGTGAAAATACTGAGAAAAGCTCTACTAGTTTCGAAGTACAGACGGGACAAGTTCCTCATGAGTAGCGTGCGCGGTCGCGGCGAGCTTTTCTCAATATATTGACGTGAGTAACCCGCGATTTTTAGTTAATTTAGTGTGTCTCACGACAGTTACTATAAAACCTGTAGCACATTCACATATTAAATAAATTAAATAAATAAAAATAAATAAGTAACCAGTTATCTAGCCACTGAATGAATTGTGTAACTTATATAATCTAAATTAAGATACCTATTAATCTAGATATTTCTTTTCATTATAAAACTAAACATATTTTTCATATTATAAAAGTTATAATACCTTTTAATCATTTTTTTTTCTGATTAATAATAGAAATATTCTTTATATCTAAATCTTAATCATAAACTTTATACAATAATAAATAAGTAAATATTGGACACTAATACTTTCTCCGCCACAGAACCAAGTTATTGGCATAACCTCTGGGAGCTCACGTAGCTTCTACAATGGGAT